GGAAGGGACGAAGAACATCAATGCTGATGTACTCTCTCGACCCCAATTGCCACGGCCAGACCCTGTAGTACCAGACCCCCATGCTTGTGAAGTACGGTCCCCCGTCAACGACCCCCCCGTCTTGCGGTCTTGCCTGGACGACCTTGGTTGCCGACTACATACGTCCTTGGTGGTTCTTGACACCCTATTTTCGATCGATGATATCCGAGACGGTCAGGACTTGGACGAGGTGGTCTCTGCGGTACGCGAGCGAGTCTTGGACGGCCATCCCTTGGGCCGCAGCGAGTTCAAGACCCGAGACTACCTTCCGTATCGACGTATATGGGCTTCTTTGGATGTGTCTGATGGGATTTTGGCTCGGCATTACCGTATGGACGCGCTGGACGAGGCGAGGCTCCTACCAGTGATCCCCGATGAGTTACGAGAACGTGCCCTCCGCCATTATCATCAGGACACCGGCCACTTTGCTCGAGAGAAGATGCTGAGCAAGATGAAACAGCAGTGCTACTGGCCAACTATGCACGTGGATGTTGAAGTACATTTGCAGACCTGTACTTCTTGTCTTGCTGCTGGCCCATTACAAGGATCCCCGTCACCCCTGTTACCGGTTCCTGTCGGACGAGCTTGGCACACCTTAGGTGTCGACTACCTCAAGATCGGTCCTGGTGTGGGCAGTTACAAGTGCCTCTTGGTGGTTCAAGACTACTTCACCAAATGGGGTGAAGCCTACCCTCTCCGTACGGAAACGGTGGAAGAGTCTTTGCCTCACCTTCTTGGGTTGTTTGCTCGATTTGGTCCGCCAGCACGGATCCATTCAGATCAAGGCCAGCAATTCGAGAGTGCTCTCTTCCGAGCTACCTTGGACGCTCTAGGTATCTCCAAGTCTCGGACGACCATCTACCATCCAGCTGGTAACGGTTTGGTTGAACGACTTAACGGGACCATCTTGTCGATGTTGAGGAGACACTGTTGCATCCCCGACTGGCCGACCCATCTGCCGGCTCTCATGTTCAAGTACAATACCGCTATCCACTCTTCTACTGGCTACAGTCCCTTCATGCTTATGTTTGGACGTGAGCCCCCGGCCGACTTTATTCCTATAACGTCTGCTTATAGCTCACTGGTATTTGATACCGAGACTTACGGACAATATGTGGCTAGGGTACGAGCTTACTTGGACGATGAGGTCGACCAGGCTGTCACTCATGCAGCAGCGAGGTACAAGGCCTTCTACGATCGCAAAGCCAAGCCCACGGCTTTCTTTCCGAACGCTAGAGTCTTTGTACGTGTTCACGTCCCCAACAACAAGCTGGCCCCGAGGTGGGAAGGTGACTGGTACATAGTGGATATTATTGGCTCACAAGACCCGGTAAAAGTACTTCGCCTTAAACATGCTGTCACGGGTGAGTTGAAGGTCATCAACGTGGACCATGTTCGACTGGATCCAGTTCAACCTGACCAACTGCCGGACGGTCTTCTTCAGCGTGTGGATCGAGAAGCCCCAGATCTACCACCTCTACCAGCTTTCAACCCTGAAGCACCGCCTGCTCATGCTCTACACCCTCAGCGAACGATGCCTCCTAGGTCAATGTCTGACGAGGACGAGTTCTCTAACGGTGTTCCGGAGAATCAGCCCGTGCCCGCTCGATCTGTGGTACGACCGCCGAACGGTCCGTCCGCATCTCCTGCCCCGTCTAGATCACGGACAAGGCCTGCGCCCCCTTCGGCAGCCTCTACTCCTGCGGCTCCATCTAGACCGTCTATGTTACCCCCGCGGCCGTTTATGTCGTCGCCTCCTCCGGTGGAAGGACGACCTGTTCATGATGGGCATTATTCGCCCCTGTCCCCGCCGCCTCTTTCTACACCGCTCCCATCGCCGGTGCCTGATAATCTTCAGAGCTCGGCTGAGTCGGTACCCTCGGATGGTCCTCCGTCCCCCCTGGAACCATCCCGAATTGTGTCACCTGACGAGCTACCCCCTGGACGCTCACGGTCCGTGACGCCTACTACCCCTGGGGAGTCTCCTGAAGAGTCAACGCCGCTTCCTTCCGGTATGGCAAGCCCGATCATGGACGCTGACTTCGAGTCTCCCCAAAGTACGCCGACGCCCCCTGTTAACGACCCCATCCAACAGCCTGCTGAGGCACCGCCGACTACGCCTCCGGCAGAGGCAGCCCCCGAGTCTACAAGACCATTTACTAGGTCTAGGGCTGGTCACCGATCCCGACCACCGACCCGCTTCGACCCCGATACCTACGTCCCGATGGCTCTTCGTTCTGAACGGAGCCATGGACGTTCTGACTCTTCTTAAGTGAGGAAGGAGGTTTGCGTGGGAGGAGAAAGAGATTGGTATACCCTTCTAACTCTCTATACAGTCTCGAGTTGGATGATCTCCTGACCCTCCTCGTTACCTCTTGTAAAAGCCTGCCGGCAGCCTATCCCCGTTCAGGGATAGTTCCTCTACGTCTCCTTTCTGTACGTGTCGAAGCCTGTTACCTAGTCGGTTGTGGTTGGATGTGAAGGTCCTGTACAACATGTTTTAGTTATTTCTATAAGTTGGTTTCGCCACTACGCTGCAGTGACTGTGGGACCCCGAACTGTCTCGGCGGTGCCAATCCTGCGCTGTATTTGTAGTCTATAGTATAGACTCTATACCGTACCCAATCGATATGATCGATATGTCTACGTTTTTGCTCCTGATTTGCCCGTGGTGTCGATGATGCAGCCTGGTCCGCCGAAGAAGACGATCTCAAGATTGAAGGAGTTGTTTCTGAGATCGTGCTGGACACTGAAACCGAGGATGCTCAAGCTCAAGCCCCAACTCAAGGTTCTGCTTGCTCTAAGGATGGCCCTTCGAGCTAAGCTGATTCTGTTCTATTCTGGACGGCTCGGACAAGCTGTTGCCGTAAGGATGAATTAAGTATGAGACTTTTTATTATTATGATTAAGTACACCGCTGTAGTACGTATTGTTAGGATTTGTATATGCTGCCTTCATTGGTACGCTGCTTTTTCCGTCTGTAGCCCGGTTCGGATCTGCGTGGGAGGAATGTGATGGGACGTGCTTCGCTCCGCTGTGGCGCACGGTCCCTATTCTGTGTGCGATCCTTCACTGTGTGCTACAGACCGTATCTGCGAGTACTGCAGCCGTTTCGCAGCATCTTTAGCTATTGGATATCGATCATACGTAATTGTCGTATAAGCTTAGTTCAAGCTTACTACGAGCTCTGTACGAGTACACTTTACACGTAGTCCACTCGTGTTCTGTACACGTATTCCACTCGTACCCCTATCCCTGTCGTCTATCGTAGTATCCCTGCGGTAGTCATATTCTCTGGTTATCTCTATCACGTACAGTCACCGCTCTGTACGTAGTTGGATATCTGGTTATAGCTTAGTCAGCTCAACTCCTTATACCCTAGGTGTGCTGGTTGTGTTCTTCTCATTAGTTGGGTCGGTTCACTCCTGCGACACTTGAAATTTGTAAAATTACTGATGTAGGGATAGTAACCTCCTAATAATGGAACTCAATACACGGCAAGTGAGAAGAGATAACCTTGTACGAAAGCGGACGTACAATAGAGTAGAACGTATCGGAATACGTTACGTTACAACTTATAACTATCATAGTTAAACTATGATTACGAACTACGTATGAGCTACTATTAGCTCTAGCTTTGCAGCACCTTAGCACGCAGGGACAATTGTGTTCGGACCGAAAATTGGGGGACAAGGAAACAATGTGGCACAATGGTCGAGCCACTGGCACAACACCGAAACATGCTTTCCGGCGCCCAAAAATTCCTTTCGCCGCCCCAAAAATTCTTTCGACGCCCGATAAATACTTTCGAAACGTGGGTACGGGATCAAAGAATAACTAACGATCAAGAGAGTACCAATTGACATACTTAAGATCAACTCACTCAGCCATATATTCAGGGTATTATACGTAAACTGTATGTAAACTTATGCCATCGATGGGAAATGATACGTCTCAAAAATACTTCCTGTCTTGGGAAATCCACTGGGTTCCCTCTCCCTCTACTCTACCGAATCACTACGAAATTCCGCGATCTTAGCTTCGGGTTGAAGTTGAAGGTTGGATTATTCTTGGCAGTCTGCCAAGAATGCGCTTCCTACGTGAGAGCTTATCATCCAACTGGTCAGTAACCAGTTGACAGTGAGGCACTAAGTATAAGCTTCTCATCAACAACAAGCCAGTGCGACTATGTGATGCGCCACTCTTGTTACACGACAATTCTCCCTTCCCTAATATCTCCATAGTTGTTTAGACCACTCAGTTAGCTGTAGCTTTGACTATAACACTAGTTCCTTCCAACAACTACTAATAATAATACTCTTGTTGGGTTCTGAAGTACTACAGAACAACAGCTAGAGATATGGATCATGAACCCCACTGTAACGACAATCCGATTATTGGGATCAAATGCAATTTTTAGAATAATACACTAAACTTGAAAAGAATTTCTTTTGGTCATAAGAAGGGAATGTGTGACAAGTTAACACCGTCAACTTATCAGAGATCAAAAACAGACAGATTGTAACATGAAGGACTGCATGGACACTTTTCAAAACGCTTTCAAAAATTCGAATGAGCAATCAGTATGAACCATACGGTATGATCTTGGTAATGGCCACCTTCGATGTGATACATGTAGCAACACTCTGAAGGGAACTCTATCATGCCATGTCGCTACAATAACCTTGAATGTTACGGTGCGACTGGAGGCTTCTCTGAAAGGAGCACGACTAAAGAGCTAAAAGGTCAGCGTCCAGCTGTAGTAAGCTGATGAACAACAGCAAGGATCTACCTGACGCTGGACTGTTTCGTGAACAGTCGAGTTATTTTCGAGTCTTATGTAAGTATTCCATGTATAGCTGTGTCGATTCTTATCGAGTTTCATGACAATGACTCGGGCGCCCGGCTTATCAGCGATAACTGTGACACAGATCACAATGAGTATTCTTCGATGGTCCCACCTCCACCGTATCCGCCATAGCCACTTTTCCTTCCATAACCCACATGTATCGTCTGAGAAGTGGTATCAATCCGAGCTAGGAAGTCATTATTGTGGTCATGGCCATGGAATATTCCGCTCACACCATGACTAAGGGCTGCCGCAAAGAGACCTGATCAAGACTGCATGATCATGAAGGAACTCACGGATGAGAGCTTGCGATCTCACCGGTATTGGCACTACTGCAACAAACACTCTCGTATTTGCCACCAACGATATGTCCCGAGCTCTCATTATACAGGTTCCAGTAGAGGAGAACCTGACGGAGAATCTGAAATTTCTCTTCAGCTACCCTCCTGTCAACGTCATGCAAATTGTGCTAAATATGAGCGTAACATAGCTGACTGTGCTGACGATCACAGGAGGTTGTTGGTAGTTACGTGAGGATCCATTGTAGAGGAACGACCAGATACAGACTGTAGCCTACAGCCCAACTTAGTAAGTTGGCCAAGTTGAACTCACCTCTTGCAGTGGAATGTGGACAAACATAAGGCCTTGGACTCCTTTGAGCTCGCTAGATTCCGCTTGGGATTCGAACCTTGACGTAGGGAACGATCGAAACGAAGAGAATGAAATCCGAACACGAAGACCCTCCTACTAAACCGCGGGGGGGGCGCAGGATAGTATCTTGGTGACCGAAACCAGTATTTGGGACAGCCTGCATGTCATGTACGCCGATAATTGAATGGTCGTCCCTTTACAGTGAAATGCTATTCATGACCGCTATCCAGGTTCTTATTATATGAACCTTTATATTATATGAATCATATACAATGTATATCATACACGGCAGATAAACTCCAGGGGGGATATTTAACGCCCACGCAATTGATCTCACGAGCGATTCACGAAATAGAAGTTGTGTTATGAAGTTGATGGTCCTATGCCTACGAGATGGATATCATCACTGAATGATCATCATTCGATCATATCTGTGCGCCCAACGCTCGTTTGCATGAACTATTATTATTTCTTACCATTGTGTTTGATCCTCTTGAACACATCCCCAGCCCTTCAGCCCCATACAATTGAGTCTGCCCGAGTCCAATATCCATAACACAGCTGTTGGTCTGCCACCTGCTGTGGAGTTCTCATATACGGGGATGTTGTAGACAGAGCCACCGCTTACTCCACTAGGGGCTGAAAAATAGCAGTCCCGAGTGGGAAATTTCCTGTGGTTGTCCATACATCTTCTCGAAAGGCTCCATCGGCTGCGTGATGTATCGTAAGCAATGACGTCCTTTCCGTCAGGCTTCAAGCCCGGACGGAAATGGTCGTGATTGCCCAGAACGAAAGCGTAAGGAATCTGACCCAACAAGGAGACACCTGTACACGGCGGTGTCGAATCCGAGGTGA